TGTGGGAAAAATACGTGCAGACACCCGTGACACAGGACAGGAAGAGAGAGCTTTTGAGGAGAAGAAAGAGCTGAGAGACCCAAAGAACACAGAGTGCACCAGAGACAAGTGACAGGACACACACCAGAACTGCTCTGCCCTGAGCACCTCAGCACTGAGATCAAAACAGACACTTTGCCTTTAGCTGGCCTAAGGGGACACTTCTTGCACATCCCTGCCCCCAAAGCTGATCCTAAAGGCCCTCCCAGCACCCCGCTTTCACCCCCTCTGTGGGCCTCAGCCCTCCACTTATCTCTCTGGCATCTGGGGATGAGAATCCACGTTGCGTGCCAATGGAGGCTGCCTCGCCTGCGGGGAATGTCCTTGGGTCACTGGGCTGTGGTCCCGTGCTCAGCTACAATCGAGAACACCAAACATCACTGCATGATCTTAGCTGCACAATGGACAAAACCCAGCAATCCTGCTACTCACCATTCTCCTGAGAATGCTCGAGCCCCACACTTTGGCCAGGCTCAGAGGCTGCCACCGTCATCGCAGGGTCTGCCTGGGTTAAGAAGAGACAAAGTGACTCGGCATTGCTGAAACACGAGTGGACCTTGGCTCCCCCTCCTACCTCGGCGTCTCACCACAACTCCTCAGCCATTGCCAAAGGCTACCTGGATGCCATCTTGAAATACAAAATTTCAAGGCTTCACCTTGGAGTCCTGCAATACTTCCAGAGGGCTCACAAGCACAGGAAATCCAGGCCATCAGCTGATGGTGAAAGGGGCTTGGCATACTCTGAGTGGATTCCCTAAAGCACACAAACAAGAATGGATGCTTACAACTGCACCAAAACCTGAAACCTGAGCAAGAACAACTGCTTCTGTCCACTGCTCACCTGGCACACAGGGCCTTGACTGCTGCTATCTGCCTGGACCTCCTAAAAATAAAGGCAAAGAACACTGCTGTAACACAGTCACCATTTAGGCTGCCCCTGCAAATGCAAACAATGACTGACCTGCTCATGGGAAAACCCTCACCCAGGACTGGGGCTCTTTGCCACTGATTTGAACTGTCTGCATCTGAAAGGAAGTTAGGACTAGCATCAAACAGCTGAAGGACAACTTAACAGCACCAAACATGTTATGTCAATCTCCTAATACAATCTAGAGCCCAACTACACCCTGCATTACAAATTTCAAGTCCACAGGACTTGTGCTTTTACAGGCTATGCAGCAGGGCAGAGCAGCTCCGGGATAAATATGTGCAGACACCCGTGACACAGGATAGGATTTGACAAACCAGGAGACAGGACAGGGAGAGAGAGCTTTTGAGGAGAAGAAAGGACCAAGAGACCAAAAAACACAGGGTGCACCAGAGACAAGTGACAGGACACACAACAGAACTGCTCTGCCCTGAGCACCTCAGCACTGAGATCAAAACAGACACTTTCCATTTAGGTGGCATAAGGGGACACTTCTTGGACATCCCCACCCCCAAAGCTCATTCAAAAGGCCCTCCCAGCACCCCACCTTCGTCCCCTCTGTGGGTGTTAGCCCTCCACTTATCTCTCTGGCATCTGGGATGAGAATCCACGTCGCGTGCCAATGGAGGCTGCCTCGCCTGGGGGGAATGTCCTTTGGTCACCGGGCTGTGGTCCCGTGCTCAGCTACAATCGAGAACACCAAACATCACTGCATGATCTAAGCTGCACAATGGACAAAACCCAGCAATCCTGCTACTCACCATTCTCCTGAGAACGCTCGGGCCCCACACTTTGGCCAGGCTCAGAGGCTGCCACCGTCATCGCAGGGTCTGCCTGGGTTAAGAGGAGACAAAGTGACTCGGCATTGCTGAAACACGAGTGGACCTTGGCTCCCCCTCCCTACCTTGGCGTCTCACCAAAACTCCTCAGCCATTGCCAAAGGTTACCTGGATGCCATCTTGAAATACAAAATTTCAAGGCTTCATCACAGAGTCCTGCAATACTTCCAGAGGGCTCACAAGCACAGGAAATCCAGGCCATCAGCTGATGGTGACAGGGGCTGGGCATACTCTGAGAGGATTCCCTAAAGCATACAAACAACAATGGATGCTCACAATTGCACCAAAACCTGAAACCTGAGCAAGAACAACTGCTTTTGTCCACTGCTCACCTGGCACACAGGGCCTTGACTGCTGCTATCTGCCTGGACCTCCTAAAAATAAAGGCAAAGAACACTGCTGTAACACGGTCACTATTCAGGCTTCCTCTGCAAATGCAAACAATGACTGACCTGCTCAGGGCAACACCCTCACCCCAGGACTGGGGCTCTCTGCCACAGATTTGGACTATCTGCATCTGAAAGGAAGTTAGGACTAGTGTCAAACAGCTGCAGGACAACTTAACAGCACCAAACGTTTTATGTCAATCTCCTAATCCAATCTAGAGCCCAACTACACACTGCATTACAAATTTCAAGTCCCCAGGACTTGTGCTATTACAGGCTATGCAGCAGGGCAGAGCAGCTGTGGGAGTATTATGTGCAGACACCCGTGACACAGGACAGGGAGAGAGAGCTTTTGATGAGAAAAATGTCTGCAAGGACCGAGAGAACCAAACAACACAGAGGGCACCAGAGACAAGTGACAGGACACACAACAGAACTGCTCTGCCCTGCATGCCTCAGCACTAAGATCAAAACAGACACTTTTTGCCTTTAGATGGCCTAAGGAGACACTTCTTGGACATCCCCAATTCCAAACTGACTCAATAACCCCTCCTGGGGAGTCCCAACCTGGCACCCTGCTTATCACCCCCTCTGTGGGTCGTAACCCTCCACTTATCTTGCACACATCTGGGGATGCAAATCCCTGTTGGGTGCAGAAGAACGCCGTCTCCCTGTCTGGTAAGTTCCAGCTGTCACCTCTTGGTCTGCCAAGGGAAAGAAAACTAAACATCAGTGCACAGTCTTAACAGCAAATGGGGCAAAACCTGGTAAATCTGTTACTCACCATCCTCCTCAGAATGCCCGGGTTCTTGGCCCTCACACTTTGGGTGTGCTTGGATTCTGACACCGTCATCGCAGGGGACACCTAGGTTAGGTGGAGACAAGGCAACATGGCATTGCTGAAACACGAGTGGAATCTCATTCCTCCCCGATTCACCGCAACACCTCGGCCATTCCTCAGGCCTACCAGGATGGGACCTTGAAATGCAGGATTGGAAGGCTCCATCACAGGGTCCTATAATGCTTCCTCCAAGATCACACATGCATGAAACCCGGTCCATCAGCCAGTTGGAGACAGAGGTATGCGCACTCCCTAAAGCACAAAATCAAGAATAAATGCTTAGAGTTGCACCAAAAACTGAGATCTGAGCAGAAACAACTGTTTCTGTCCACTGCTCACCTTGGACACTTGGCCTTGACTGCGGCTATCTGCCTGGACCTCCTAAAAATAAAGGCAAAGAACACTGCTGTAACACAGTCACCATTTAGGCTGCCCCTGCAAATGCAAACAATGACTGACCTGCTCATGGGAAAACCCTCACCCAGGACTGGGGCTCTCTGCCACGGATCTGAACTGTCTGCATCTGAAAGGAAGTTAGGACTAGTGTCAAACAGCTGCAGGACAACTCAACAGCACCAAACATGTTATGTCAATCTCCTAATCCAATCTAGAGCCCAAGTACACCCTGCATTACAAATTTCAAGTCCCCAGGACTTGTGCTATTACAGGCTATGCAGCAGGGCAGAGCAGCTGTGGGATAACATGTGCAGACACCTGTGACACAGGACAGGAAGAGAGAGCTTTTGAGGAGAAGAAAGGACTGAGAGACCCAAAGAACACAGAGTGCACCAGAGACAAGTGACAGGACACACACCAGCACTGCTCTGCCCTGAGCGCCTCAGCACTGAGATCAAAACAGACACTTTGCCTTTAGCTGGCCTAAGGGGACACTTCTTGCACATCCCTGCCCCAAAAGCTGATCCTAAAGGCCCTCCCAGCACCCCGCTTTCACCCCCTCTGTGGGCCTTAGCCCTCCACTTATCTCTCCGGCATCTGGGGATGAGAATCCACGTCGCATGGCAATGGAGGCTGCCTCGCCTGCAGGGAATGTCCTTTGGTCACCGGGCTGTGGTCCCGTGCTCAGCTACAATCGAGAACACCAAACATCACTGCACGATCTCAGCCGCACAGCAGCCACAACTCAGCAATTCTCTGCTCACCATTATTCTCTTGAGAACGCCGGGCTCCTCGGGCCGCACGCTTCGCCCACGCCCTCCTGGCAGGGTCTGCCTGGCTGAAGAGCAGGCGAGGTGAGGTGGCGTTCCCAAAACTCGAGTGGACCCTGGTCCCCCTCACTAGTAGTTCCCCAACTCACAGCAACTCCTCGGCCGCTCCTGAGGCTCCCTGGTGCCACCTCCAAGTGACAAAGATCAAGGCTTCGTCGCAGAGCCGTGTGCCGCTCCCCGAATTCCCAGGAGAGCGAAGGAGCGGCTCTGCGGCCGCTTGCAGGGGGGACTCGCTGGTACACGAGTGGACTGCCTGATGCACACAAACATGAATGGATACTGAGACTTGCAGCAGAGACACTACAGCTGCAGGCACACAAATTCATAAATAAATAAACTAACAAAACCCAAACATTCTACCAAAATATTAATTTTATTTACACTATCCAAATTGCCAAATAGATTAACAGAGACACCCTGTCCTATCCCCTCAATAAGACCTCTAAAATCTATGCCAAACAAATCCTTAAAACTAAGAAAACCCTGCCTGTATCAAAATAAAAACAAAAAAAGTCTTGTAAACTTCATAAATTCATTAACCTAACACATCAGAACCATAAAAATATTAAACCTTTATGAAAACCAGTATGCAATACACACTACCCTCATTTCAACATATAAATGTAAAGCTATCCCTACTACTAACCTAACACAAATATCACAAAATATAGCAGTAAGAAAAAAAATAAACCTCACTAAAACATAAAATTTTTATTTTAAGCAAAAAAAAAAAAAAATCATACATTCTAAACAGGAACTTCCTCAAAATCAAGTATTTCAATAAACCCAAAAAAACTCTAGCATATTTCAAATAACTACTAAAAAGCCAAAAACCATAAAAAAATTAAGCAACCCCACAACTATCCAGAACTATCTACAATAAACCTTCTTTAAAACAACCCAACAAATCCTCCTTACCACCTCAACAATACATCACCAGCAACACCAAACAACTCAAAATACTGTAACTCCCATCCAAAAAATGCTCTATAAACTGAAACACTAAAACTCAACTACAACACCCACCCACCCTTCAATAACCTCCTCTAATCTACACAAAAATATAAAACCAGTAAGAATTAACTATAAGCGATCATACCTTAAAGAACTCCACCATTGAACACTACTGTACCAGACTTATTATAAATCAAAAACCACAAAATAACACACCACTGTTAACGTTACCAAAACATTTTTCTCCATTCTTCTAACAACCAAATACAAACCTCGACTTACCTTCACTTGAAAAACATACAATACACCTACAACCAACTGCCCCAAAATTAAAAACACAGTCCTACCATCCAGCATAAATTCAACCAAATGAAACTTAAAAAAATAAAACTCCAAAACATCAGTAATAATCCAACAACATTAGATGAGAAGTATAACAAAAATATTGTTTAAAATCATCCAAATTCTTCTAAAAGACTATTACACCACAAAACAAAAAAAAAAACCAGCAACATAAAAAAGCCTACTGAAAAGATCCAATTCCTAAAAATAAAATAACAAAAGAAACATCAAATCCCCACCAATATCATCAAAAACAGTCAGAATGGCTCCATGAGCCAACAAAAAAAAAACCCAACCTATAATAAAATGCCAAACCACCTCAGAAACAAACAATAAAACACAGCCCCTCTTACCATGGTATTATTTTAGTGCTATGATTAAAATACACATTCTATACAAAAATGTCCTCTACCCTTCCATCAATGCCACATAAAGCAAATAAATTAACTGTTATCATAAAGGACATACATAAAAAAAAACTCAATCGCCCTAAAACCTTAAAAATAATTACAAATTAACCCCAAAATAAAAACTTTAACAAAAGAAAACCAAAACCAAACAACAGAAACTAAAAATACACCACCATAGAACCAACTACCAGCAAAAAAAAACGCCACACTACACTCTTTTCACTAAGAGTTGTTAGTGAGACACATCACAAAAATGGAACAAAATAAAAAACACCCCTATAGAAGCCCACAAAACAAATCACAAAACCCACTAGAAAAAGAAGTCCAACCAACTTACTAAACTTCAAACCATACAACAGACCCTGAAAGCTGTTAGAAATGAAAACCATACCTCCACACTAACTCAAAGAGTAACCAGTATTCTGCTAAGTTAGCTTTAAAAACCAAATAAACGAGATTAACAAAAATCTAAACTACTAGACAATAAAAAGATAAGCACCCAAATAAATAACTACCTAAAAAAACCCCAACGTATAAATACACAAGTTCCTAAAAAAAACACTAATAAAAAGGAATCAACAAATACATCAAACTGAAACAAAAACCCAAATAAATAAACTTAAATTAACAACAACAACAAAAAAATTATTCCTAACTCAATAAACCCATAATGCCTCAAACCATCAAAATACTAATACCACCTAGAAATAAACACGTCACCAAAAGATAAATGTAACCATAAACAATAACTCCCAAATTACTGGTAACAATAAAACGTCCACGACAATTAAACAAACCAAATGAATAAAACCTCTATAAGAGAATTAACAACAATGGAATTACCAATATTTAAAAAACCCTCACTAATTAACTACAGGACATTACCTCAAACCCACCAAAACCAACACTACATACTCATGCTAATAAAAGTCACCAGAACCTAATTAAAAACCAACCCTGTACTTCATGCTACGACCCATAAAAGACATTGTAAACCTTAAAAAAATACCCTTTAAGAAGATAATTACAGTTATCTTTTTATAAAAGAAAAATAATCAAAACAAAAAATCCAACATATCGCACACACACACAAAAAAAAAAAAATCCAACAACAAACTCAATCCAAAAAAACCCTTGTCACAGCACCTGAACCAAGAACCGTAACAACCAACAAGCACACCGTGACCCTTCTCACACACCGACTCCGAACAGAAGAAAAGGACCCAATGAATTCCCCAGGAGCGCCTCAAAAGCAGCGCAGCGAGGGAGGCT